ATACACACACACACACACACACATACACACACACACACACACACACACAAATATAGTGTTTTTGGTTTATGCCAATTAAACCCGTACACCAGAGTAACATGGTGATGTACATAAAACTGGAGAAAGGGAGTAATGAAACAACAACAAGAGGAGGGAGGAGGAGGAGGAGGAACAAAAATATGGCACAAAATATGAAAAGGAAAGAGAGGGGAATACCACTCAGCGAGGGCAAGAACTCGCGGTCATGCCATTTCACCAACATCCCAATGTTTTTCTCTACAATACTGGGAAATACACGTAGCATGTCCTTCTTGGCTTCTTACGTTTGAAACCTGAACTGTTTTGCTTTCTGGCAGTTTAGACTTTTCAGCTTAGTGCATTTGAAAAAGCGGAGACTCCACAGACTCTGTGGAGAGCTGTAGAAGCCTATGTAGCAATGAGCTCATACTAGTTAAAATGACGCTGTAGATCACACAAAGTTCAGGCAACAGGCAACCTGATGTAGGTCGGCTCAAGGGCTGTCATCTAAAAGTTGATGATTTCACTGCACTTCAGTTGCCTCACAGAGTGATGGTTGTGACTGGCTGTTCACTTTACATCCAAGTATTTTTTTTTTTAACTTTCACTCTTTTTAGTTTTATGGTTGGGTCATTTTAAAGGGATAGTTCAGGTTTTTTGATATGGGGTTGTGTGAGGTACTCATGAATAGTTGGTACATTACCTGCAGTAGATTCTGTTCAGCGCGCTCTCAGTTAGGAAAGCCGACCGGGAGCACGGGCACACTAGCAGAGCTAGAGAGGGAGTGTTTAAGACACTTTTAAAAACGCCTACCGGGACCGTATTCCTACGCACAAGCGCACCTACCGAGCACACTGTATTACGCCGCAGGTCAGCTGAGTGAATCAGGAAGCAGCTTGTGTGTAGGAACACGGTAGTTCAGCGGTTGAAAAAAAATGTGTTTTCAAAGGAAGATAAACTGCTGAAAATATTCTACATGAAAACATTTAATCCAATATCCATTCAAACTGATATTTAAAACATGTTTTTTCTCGTGGCCCCGTGCACAGCAACACATAGCTCTGCTAGTCTTTCCGAACTGGGAGTGCACTGAACACAATCTACTGCAGGTAATGTACCTATATATGACTATATATGAGTACCTCACACATCCGCATATCAAAAAACCTGAATTATCCCTTTAAAATGACCGAACCACAAAACTAAATAGGATGAAAGTAAAGACAGGGGGATGGAAACAAAGAGCAGCACGACGCCAGACGTTCGCTCTGACACCGTCAACTCCAGCGTCTGGCTGACAGCGTTGGCAGCGGCCCGGCAGGACAGACACGCGGAGGTGCTGACCCCTGCTATGTGTGACTGTGTGGGAAATTAAAATGAAAGAAAAATGATAGATACAACCCCGCCGGAACGATGCACTGAATAGAAGAGCTGATGCTCAGTGGACTCTGAAAAGCCTGGCTCGTGGACAGACCTAGTAGGTTCCATTATTATCTGAATGTTATTGTATCATTGATTTGGCTTGGAGACTCACAACCTTTTACAGAAAGCCTGTTACAGACTGAGAGTGTGGAGTTTGATAGACGCTGGCATTTACCAGGCAGCAATGGTCTAATAAAAGACGCTGGAAATTGAAGGACTCAGTGTTTTTGCAGTTTGACCCGTACTAGAGACTAACAGTGAGGCCACTCTGGCTTCTCCTGAGCTGACCTGCACTGATCTGTGTCTTACAAGACATTGAGGTGCAATAATAAATGAGTGGAGAGCGCCTGTAATCACTTTTTGGATTCAACTTTTGGAAACTATTGGTGTGTATTGGAGTGGAGGTTTTCTAATGTTCATCTGATCACAATCAGAAAAAAAAAGACAATTTATGTTTGAAGCCAATTTAATATAATATCTTTCTAAGGATTTGTGTCCCATCACTTATAGTCTAAACAAGTGTCGTCAATTTCACCGCACCCCATTTTTAAACAGCCAATCAGCGCCCACTGTAGCCTGTTACATTTCTGTTAGTTATTGTTCTATACCTGGAGTATGCCAACCTGCAAAACCACACCGTGGTCAAGTGATGAGGTGCGGACGTTCCTCTGTTTGGTATGGTATTGATTTCCTCCATTGTTCATGTGTGTGTCACCTTGATCTGGGGACCCCAAGAAACCCCCTCAATGACCCCTAGGGGTCCCTGGACCCCACTTTGAGAACCACTGATCTACAGTACCAAAAGGAGATGGAGTTTGCTGCTCCTAAACAATAAATAAACTCAAGCAAATGTGTGAAATCATTTCACAGTTTAGCTGTTCGAACCTCATTACTGGTATCAACCTCTGGCTAACCAACCGGTGATGATGTCATGCACATGCAGTGTGCAGGTTCACATTAAAATCATCTGATGCATTTACTCTCACGGGCAGATGTCACTGTAAATACTACCATGTTGCGTAATCATTTACTACCTGGAGAGGCGTTTTGCATCGCCCATCAAAAAAGACCTCAAGCGATCTTTCAAACAGCGTCTCGTGTTTCTTTAATATTAATGAAACAAGGAACATGTGTGGCATGAACAATGTGAGTCCCGGAGGAATTAAAGGCAAATGAAGTGAATAAGAAAGAGGAGGAGGCATGAGAGGAGAAGGGAACAGAACAGAGGAGGATAAACATGGATAGAGATGTAAAACTTTTCTTGGCTAAGGTGACTGTGAGCTAACAACGAACAAATGGGCTTGCGGAGCTAAAACTAATGACAGAGCTGAGTGGTTGAGTTTTCATTCTGGATGTAGCGTCTAAATTTAACCCACAATTGTTTCCAGGCTGAGGAGGAACGGCATCCCACCCACATGTGAAGCACACACGAGATCAGGGGTCTCGTTCGGTTTGAGTTGCCATCAATCAGCTCGGGCCGCGTCCCCTGCCAGCATTACATCATGACATACCTATTCTGACTTTAACAAGCCAGGGAAGTCATTTGGTACGCTGGCAGCGAGAGTCGCACCAAGTCGGGGCTAATCAGCTCGGAACAGATTGGAGGAAGAACATTCAGAGTTGCTCAATACCCCGGGGTAGTAATCCCACAGTGTAAAATCACGTTCGCATGCTGGGGTCACTTGCATTCAATCCCACTGCAAACATGTATTGGCTCAGACGAGCGGCGGTAAATGATCTCTGTGCAGCACTGAGCTCCACCCAAAGGGGTTCATTATACCAAAAGTCAAAGTTCTCACGTTCTGGGGCAGTGCACTCATGCTTTTCATGTATTCTTACTTCTTCTTCCTCTTATTACTTCTTGATGTTTTTTTATAAGGCATGGATGTCTTGTTTTGTAAATTTCACATCACAAATATTTTGCACATATGCATGATACTGTTATCCAGAAAGTCCCTTCTTTGTCTCTTCTTTGTCCTCTTTTCTATTACGATTACTCAATTCCTGCTTAGCAATGATAAAGTTCTGCTGAAGATGTTATGCTTACATAGATCGTTGACCTCTGTTGCTTGATCCATTACCAACTGTACTCCCTAAAAGAGGTTGTTAGGCATTTCTCTAAATATTTAATTAATTTTAGTGCTGCACAATTAATTGAAATACAATCAAAATCATAATATGGCCAAGTGCAATATCCAAATTGCAGGAATTGCAAAAAAAAAAAAAAACATTGCAGGATTTTTTGCAGTAAAATGTGTCACCACATTGTTGTGCATTGTTAGCACCGTAAGTGTTGTGGTGCTACAGAGACGCCCCGGCCTACAAATCATACTGTCCAGATGTACCAAAACATGTAAACATGTTTGTTTAGCACAAGACCCAACAGAAATCACATCATCATTTAAAATTTTTTGTCAATGAAAACGAAATGCAAAAACAACCATTCCAACTGAAATGGCATATCGCAATATCTGCCAAGATTATCGCAGTTTGATTTTTCTTGTATATCATGCAGCCTTTATTAACTTTGATCTTTGCAGTTTCCTCCTGTGGTTTTGACAGAATCTTTTGATATATAAGAGGTGGCGTGCACAGACTGTTTAGGGGACTGAGGTGAAAGTGAATAATGTCAGCTAATCTGAGGTCTCTGGACCAATCGCACTTAGCAACAGTTTTTCCGTAGAGCTGGCGATGCTCACACTGAGCTGACGCATCAGCATCCTCAACTATTCGAGTCATGCTTGGCACGGTGTTGAGTGTTTATCCGCCGTACAGCATGGCAAGGTAAAAGGTGTTGAAGGTGGAGTTAGAAGCCGGTCATCACAGAGAGAATGACACAATATTGTTGAAAAACAGGGATATCAGCGCACATTTTCATACCGCCTCTCCAGGAGGATATTTTGTCGTGTTGCAGTCGCTTGTTCACATGAAAAGCGCCACAAACGATGGTGTAACAAATAAAAGAGGATGACAAAAGTTCAATCCTTGCATGAGGCCAATCACCACACGAGGAAGGTGTGAATGTTGGATTGTTGATTTTGGAAAGTTACAGGAATGGTCTAATCCGACGGCAGAAAGGTGTAGGGGGATTCCGAAGATATCTCACCACCTAACAAGCACTTTGGATGATTTATAAAGCTTTAGAAGGGAAAGACCACCCCAGCACGATTCCATTACCAAGCAGGACCACAACATCATCACCTGCTGTCAGCACTCACAGAAAACATGAGTTCATGGCTTGGCGGGGCTCGGCCCAGTTAAAATCAGGCCTGTGGAAAACCACCATTAGCATTTTGAGGTTAGAACTGGGATTAAAAGTCTAATTCTCTCATAACCACTATTTTAACATCTTCTCAAATGTATCTAGAACTTTCTTCCTGGTAAAAATATACTCACTGCAATGACGTTGAAAAAATGTTTAGAAAAAAAAAAAAAAAAAAAAAAGACTAAAAACTGAGTTTAGCCTGACACAGATTTTGGACAAGTGTCTCCTTTGGGAACAGCCATATCCCAGCTAAATAAAAGCAATCTGAACAGACATCCATTTCTCTCTCTCTGACCTTCTATTATGGTGAGGTTCTTCAGGGTAATGGAGTGCTCCCAGTCCTTCAGGCGGAGGTCCTCTGTGATCCTGTTGAGGATCTCCATCTCGTTCCTCAGCTGGGCCTCCGTGTGGACGTGGGTCACCCATAAACTGCTGGTGTCCTCGGTGATGTTGCTGATCTGGATCTGAGCGGCAGCAGGAGGTTCAACAGCAGCAGTTAGATCATCAGTATGCTGCAGTTAGACAGCACCAGTAATATTTCCTGTATTGTTTATGTGCCGTGTATAAATTAAAAAAAATTAAAAAATCTTCTCAGTGGTAGATTTGATGAATAAGAAAACTTGCTATGAACCTGCAAATCCTGTATCTTCAACTTGTGAATAGTGATGTCATTGCTGAAGGTGTGATTGACAGCTCCCACCGTCCAATTAACCTCGTCCAGTTTCTCTCTCAGCCCGCTCACCTTCCATGAGGTTTCCCTGACGGAGTGCAGAAACAAATAAGACTTTTCATTACATTGTACACAGTTTTCATTGTGATACAGTTACACTTTTATACTTTGGAAATGAGGATCTTCAGTGTCATCTCTGTGTGTGTGTGTGTGTGTGTGTGTGTGTGTGTATGTGTGTGTGTGTGTGTGTGCACTGGAGCAGGAGGTCCTGGTCACGGAGCCAGGTGGAGGCTCGGGCCACCTCCGAGCTCAAGCCGGTCAGGTTCCGGCTGGCGGAGCTGCTCAGAGAGGACAGCCTGTCATCCAGCTGCACCAGGTAGCCCTCTGACTGAAGAGAGTAAGTCTGGATGCTCCTCAGCTCCACCTCCACGCCCTTGCAAGGAAGAGACCATAGCATATTCTCCACTGCTGTGGTAGTATCTCACAGATATACAGGACTGAAAGGCGTGTAAATGAAACCAATTTGAATCCCAAAAATGGCCGAGACAAGTGAATAAATGCAGCCTCATCCATCAACAACTGCTTTACTCCTCTTCGTTACCCAAAAAATTATAATCTGTAACTTTTCCACATTAAAATGTCTAAAAATGACAAGATCGATGTGATGTGTTTTGAGTTGTGTTCTTACATCATCCCAAATGTTTCTATCAATTCTCAAACCTAGAAAAATACGTGATTTTAATCATGGTAACGGTCCCTGTCATTTGGTCTCCTGTCAATGACATCATATCCTCTATGTGCATGGGTCAGCGTTGTGGTTGCCTGCCAGAGGCTCAAAATGGACTTTTATCTACATTTAAGTCACATACACTTTTTACACCTTGGTGGTTTTCAACTATATATTTGAACCAGATGAAGGATTTTAGTCATGGGACATCTGGATCTGAAGTTATCAGAGAAACAAGCTGAGGAAATGTTAGACAGCTCAGCTTCAGCCACTGGAGACGTCCAGTGTCCACTGAACTGTGTCGGTGAGTCTCTGAGTTTGTTATGGAGAGGAGGACAGCTCGGACAATTCACAAACTACCCCCCATACACACACACACACACACACACACACCACCATCCGCACCAATGGAGAAAGAAAATGAATCAACTTAATATACAGACATCTATCCTCTCAATATCTATAGATTTCATCCACAAAGTAACATTTTATAATTGTCTGACAGGTATATGAGAGGGAAACGGAGGGTGGGATTGGGGCAGATATTTCCAGCACATTCGTGTCACTGAATAAACTCATCATCATTAAACTCTATTCATGTTCTGTAACATTTTCCAGGTGTGCATCTGTATAAACTCTCGTTCCCTGTTTTCAGTCTTGTGTCACACCTTGATGAGGATCTCCAGCCTCTGCAGCCAGTCACTGTGGTTCTGGAAGAGGTTCTCCAGTTTCCAGATGTTCTCCAGCAGGTCGGCCTGAGTGGACGCCTCGCCCAGGGTCTGCTGCAGCAGCCGAGAGCGCTCCGACATCCGGGTCACGTTCTCCATCAGCACCTCCTGTCGCTGTGAAGAAACCTGGGAACGAGAGACTGGGGAGGGGAAGAGAAAGACTCAGAGTGAGGGGTTTGTCCCGAGTGTTGATTCACTGATCCCTCAGCTACGGCTAAGTATCGGTTACTATCAATCACTACGGTCAGCTTGGATCTAACCAACATTTTAATGCAGAGCAGATGTTGATTCTGTCGCCTGCACTAATTCTGGTCGCCTGTTCCTGCTAAATGTATTGTTTTGTTAAACCAAGACCTAAGTATTTCTATTTTAGCCCCAAAATTAGTTTCCAGCGTTGGCTTAACATGACGTTCTCTGTGCTGTAATATCAGATTGTGGAAATTCTGTCTTCATTCGGACTGATGTTGAATTTGGCGTCTGCATGTTTCTGTTCGTCCAATACCTGCAGGAGAGAGAGTGTTGTTTTAAAGATATGACCTATGGAGTCCCACTGATGGAGTTTAGCTAAGTGCATTTTACTTTTACGACCATTTTATATCAGTTTACACTTCGACACCACCGGGGAATATTGTACTATTTATTCTACTCCATTTATATGACAGCTATAGTTAATAATTACTTCGCAGATTAAGATTTAACATTGAAAAACATTGAATAACCTTAAAAATAGTGTCTTTTTGGCCAGTGACTGCTTAAATGAGGCAGTGTCTAGGTGAGCTCACACTTCAGAGTTGTTAGCAGTATCACCAAAAGTAATTTCACCCTCATTTATGTGGTTTCTCTCTGAATTACACACGTGTTTATTTAGCTGCAACATCACATTTGCTGATAGTTAACATATTGCCAATGAACCTCTCTTGTCTTGTTTTTGGCTGTGGCACTGAGGCCACTTCTTTAGTCTCTTCTCGCTTCTCGACCGTGCCTAATGAGAAAAAGCTCCTCTGTTTCATGTTATGTTGAGAGAATGTTGCGTGGTAACGGCTCGATAGCCCGAGAGATATTTTGAAACCAGATCCTCGGCGTTACGTCATGACGACATCCCCCTCTGCAAGACAGTGGGGACCAATGTGTGCAAAAAAAAAAAAAACCTCAGATAGAGAAAAAAGGGATTACTTGGGAAACAAGAGGAAGCAGATAATTCCCTCCACACATGCTCTTTGACACAGTGATGCCCATAACAGCCGAATATTACACACACTGAATGTTTCTGTTTCCATGTATCTAAGAGAGCTCTAAAAGTGTGTGTGTGTGTGTGTGTGTATGCTAGTATCCATGCCAGGAGAGCGTTACATGACCTCAGAGCGAAAAAAGTGCTGCGAAGCCGCACTGCTGCAAACAAACCATCTAAATTCCTGCTCATTATGTGTGTTAGGTTTATTTCTAATGACCTGAAACACTAAATAAGCTGCAATCTCTCCACTACACAGGGCGCTTAATTGCTAAATGATGGTCTGTCATCAGCTTCATCACACACTACACTGCACACACACACACACACACATACACACACACACACATGTGCGCGCACACCCACACGCACACACACAGTTTCAACCAGAACCTGATAGTGTGGTGGAGTTTCTACATACTGCTGTTGAACGATGAAGGATATATAAAGGTGGTGAGGTGAAGAAAAAAGTAAAGAAGAGAAGAAGAACAAAGGAGGCAAAAAAGGGAAAAGAAAAGAAGGAGATGAACAAGGTCCACTTAATTTGATTGAAGTGTTGTTAATGCTTTCTTGGAGTAAACAACAGATGAGAAGAACACTTTGAATTCCATCTGAATATTAGGCAGGTTATTCAAACTGCTTTTGGCCGAATCTCCACAGTGGCTACCTCTTAATATAAGAAGATAAGATGAGAATGACATTGCTTATTTGTAAAAAAAAAAAAAAAAAGAAAAAAGAAAAAAAAAAACTTAAAGATCACACCCTTTTATCAATGATCTTGAGAAATATGTATATTGAATCATTCAAACCATTCAAAATAATATTGTGTTGTGTAATATTGCGTCTTTTTTACAGTGTGTTCAGTGGGCCAACCTGCTTCTAGACAACTCAGCTCAATTACTTTATCTATTGAGTGGAAATTAAATTAAACCAACAAAACATCAGAGCTTGATTAAGCCATTTATTTACATGAATTCTGGAGCGGCCTCTTTAACTAAGCTTGATTAATATCCACATCTTAAAAGCCACTCAGGCACTGTGGCACCGACATATGTCATGGCAGCAGGGACCTGACTAATAACAAAATACTGCACGTCTGGGTATTAAAACAGATCCTTAGAAGATGAAGGAGAAGAGGAAGTGCGGATAAAAAAAAAGGCCAAGGAGAAGAAGAGGAAAACATAAGAAGGAGGAGGGAAAGAGGAGGAGGACATGAGGACTTTGGGTTTCTGAAACTCTCACTAAACATCACATGATGGACTAAAAAATCCATGGTGGTCAAGTAAAAGAAAGAAATCTGGCTTTTTTTTTTTTTTTTTTTACATAGTTTCTGAAAGCTGACACTTGGGAAAGAGACAATTTTCCCAACAGCAACAAACACATCAATACCACAATCCTGTCAGATAATCTTGTAAGGGTAATTCAAAAGTTACAGAAGGAGTGGCGGCACAGAGTTTAGTGTTAATGTAATCCATGAACTGTTTCCAAATTTTCTGAAATTTGTCAGAGAGACCGCAGTGTGGTTTTGCCAGTTTTAGGTGCAGAATTACATTTCTTCGCTACAGACTGTTTGGGAGCTGTGGGTTCTCACAGTTCAGAACAACTGTGCACTATTAGAGCAAAGACATACAGTGTAGACCTGTAATCAGATCTTGTTGCCAGAACAGATTTTCCACAGCGTCTCACTTTGTTTCCTCTGGTCTCACCACCTCGAGGAATCATCCATCAGTATTAGGAATCGCTCTCCACTAACTGCTGTCTGTTAAAGTGCTGCCCTGCTAACATGGAAAGCTCTGTATATACGATCAACCTAACCACAGAGGTCATTGTAAGGTAACTGAATGGAGATACAAGGCGTTTCTATTCACACTAACATCTCTAATCTAATGCAGTAATGACTGATTTTTTTGGCCGCCTGGGGGCAGCAGAACAAGATATAAACACATCATTGACAAAGGGTCACCTTATTATTTTGTACATATTAGCAAGCAGTTGCTTATTCAAACATGCAGCAGATACAGAGCAATGTTACTGATTTGGAGTTTTGCTTCTGGACAATATTCACTCTCCTTTTGGCTCCGCTTTCGGTCTCCAACAACCCCTGAGCGAAACTTGTGGCTCATTAGCTGCTAAATGCTCAACTATGTTTGTTCTGTCTGCTGTTTGTTGCTGGACAGCTAGTGGGTTTAACAGAGTGTTTGAAACATTCCTAATTTGTATGTATTCTTTTTGTGCCAGAGTTACGGATAGTTTTACTTATTCAACAAAGTTTAAATGACCAAAATATACATTTATTGGATGCAAACATCTGGAAGGGCAGATGAAGTGTTGAAAATTTATCTGTAAATGTCAAGAATTTATAGTTTTATCCAAAATACTGTAGCTGTAACTGCACGTCTCTTTCAGTCATCAGCCCTTATAATGACGGACTGTTGAGTTACAGCTGGAAAGATGAGTCTTTAAGGTGAGTGTTCTGTGGCTTCAGGCAATTCTGATGAGAAAAAGACTGAAAGATGAGCTTTATGCCTGACAAATCCATTTCAAACCTCTCAAAGCTCAGCTCAGGATGGGAAAGTCATCTCTTGTCTTTTCCATTCCCCTCCTAATCTTTCCTCTTGATTTAACACATATGCACAAAAATATAAACTCGCACACAGTGGTGTGGCAGCAATATTCACAACACAGACTAGTCCCAAATTCACAACTTCATGGTCTTTGGATTCTTCAGTGGAGGAGAGGACAGTTTATCCATTCATGTATCAAATGCTGTTTGCTGGGAGAGCAGGCCAACACAACAGCTGGACTTCAGTGTGTCATCTGAATGAATTCTGCATTATTGGTTCAGTGCTTGCATTGTCTCTTGATACAGCACGCAGTTGATTCACAAGATTTGCAGCATTTTAGCTACATTGAACATGATTATTATACACTTCAAATAAACAACCAACAAATAATCTAAAAGGGCTATTAGTGCAAACACTGATTCAAGGGGAGACATACTTGACTAAATCTAATTGACCAACATGGGGGTGCAGAGAGTTGTAATGTAAGCTAAAGGACTAATGTTGGGTATAGTGAACTCATACAAAAGTTGAACCTTTTCCAAAAAACAACATAACACATCGTTTCCTCAAAGTGAATTTTGGACACACTTCTGTCTACATTTCCAGTCACACGTGATGTCAACACATACAATACAAAGACTTCACAATGTGAACCCTTGACATGATGGAGGCGATGCATTAAAGGTCCCATGTTGTATAAAGGTAGATGTCCATGTGTTGTTTGATTATAAAGCAGGTCTAGGTTCTATATTAATACTGTAGTATCAAAGTATCAAAGCGCCCAGTCCACAGAGAAACTTACACAGCCTGTATTCAGAAACCTTAAAACCAGCCGTCAGGACTTCTGTAACTTTGTGATGTCACAGTCACCACCCTCAGCCATGCCCCAAGTCCCGCCCACCTAGACCCACCATCCAACCTTGCAGGATTTGGTTTCTCTAAGTGTATACCTGAAATCTGCTACATTTTTATTCGATCACTAAGAAAACAGTCAACCATTCAGAAGAGACTCAGAGCCTCCTCTCTTCCGATTGGCTCACCGACCTGTTGTAGAGCACCAGAGAGAAGCCTGAGAGAGGAGATGTAAAACTACATTTAGATTATTTTTGGTACTTGAAACCACAAATATATTTTCTTATGGATCAACACTTCAAATAAACAGGAAAAGTGTAAAATATGGGACCTAAGTAAGGGACCCATTAAGGCCCCACACTGACCATGGGAAACAGGAAACAGCGACATATAAGGGAGAACTGATGCCCATCATGAAGCCAGAGCTGTGTGTGTAGCCACACAGACTACAGCCAGTTATTGTCAGTGTGTGTTGCCCTGTAGAGATATGAGGCTG